CAGGTGGTTCTGTGAGAAGGCGCAGGACCCAAGCACCTGGCCTGCTACCCTGGCCTCAGAGCTTCAGGCAAACCTAACATTTGTATAAATTTTCATGTGTAAAATGTGACTGTCATATTTGATCAGTTGCATGCAAAAGCACTGTTAGTTTACATGTGCACTTAACCCTCCCAAAGTTAGCTTTTTGTATTAATATTTTTATCAACTTTTAATTTTAAGCAATTTCCATTTTTAAAAAGTTGATAGAGTGAACACCTGTATACATTTCACCTAGATAAATTAACATGTTGCTTTATCTCTTTCACACACACACACACCCCATTTTTTTTGTAGAACCATTTGAAAGTAACTTGCTATCATAACACTTCTGCCCTAAATAGTAAAGCATGTATTGCCTAAGAATAGATGCTCTCCAGGATAACTGTCATCATTATCACACCTAAGACATTTAACCCTGATAGAATAATACCATTTAATATGTAATGCATGATTGCATTTCCTTAAATATTCATTATAGCTACTTTTATTTCGATCCAAGCATGGGATCGTCCTGTCTCTTTATTTGCCTTTATTCTAGACAATTTTTGCTTTTTTTTTTCATCTTTCAAGACACTGCCATTTTTTCTTAAGAGTCCAGGCTAGTTGTTTTGTAGAATGTTCCATAATTTGGATTTGTCTGGTTTCCTCACAGGTAGCTTCAGGTTCACCATTTTTGTTGAGGACTACATTGGTTGTGTGTGCTTCCATTGCATCACGTCAGGTTGTCAGATTGTCCTAAATTCAGTCGTTTGGTTAAGGGTGATGTCTCTTGGCTCTTTCCATTATAAAGTCACCTTTGTCCCTCGGTTCCTTTGTCATAATCTGCAGGATGATCATTTGAGACTGCAATGTCTCTTCTAGCAACCACCTTTCGGTAACATCCATTGACGATCCTTGCCTGAATCAGTTACTGTAAATTAGTGGTTGCAGAATGGTGATGGGCTGAGGTTTTTCTGTAAAATTTCCTTCCCTGCCCTTTTTTTTTGAGCATCACTATATGGTTTATAATGCTTTACCTTCTTACTTCTTTCTAGTGCTCCAGCTGTCCCAGAATTCGTGAGAGGATGCCCATTCAGGCTGGGTCCTGTGTCCTTGTGACATGGCCCCATCCGCCATTTGGCACTTTCTCGCTTTCTGGTAACAGATGCTTCAGGCTCATCTTGACCTTTCCTTGCTCCAAACTTGTCATTAGCCATTTCTCCAAGAGGGTTCCTTTTTAGTAGGGAATGGTATTTAGAAGCCAAGATCTGGACGCCATGTTTGCTCACTGCTCCTGAGGTGTCATCGCTTCTAGGTTTTCCCTGTGGATAGAGCTAGAACACACATTAATGATTTCAATAACATTGGAACGCTTCTGTTTTTCAGAGGCTACAGAAACTTTAGAGGTTTCAGTTCATGCTGAAAAAACTAGGAGATTGATGTCTGTAAAGGATTTCAGAGACTAAAGTTATGTCACCTTTTTGCAGCTGTCCTTTTCCATAATCCCCTAGAAAGTGAGGGTTTTCTGTACTAAGAGTATGCAGAGGTCATTAACCTTACGTATCTCTGAAATATAGGCCCAGGTAAGTGAGCACAGAAACAAAAAGGTTTATTATATAAACTTTTATTCCATAATTCAGAAATGTTTATTGAACAGCAACTTTTAGGCATTAAGGTCCTTAGTCTCCTGGGGATCAAAGATACAGGACTTGGTCTCGGCCCTGTGGCTGAATAATGCGTCTCGGGGCAGGGTGACGGGGAGGAAGGGACAGAGGGTGGGAGGGAGATGCTCGCTAACCACTGTTCATGCCCACAGGGCTTTGGAGAGAAGCATCCGACTCCCTGTGTCAGTTGCTCATTGGCCTGCATCCTAAAGTGCCTTCTGGTTGGGGCACACCAAGGTGGAAGCGAATGTGCACATCGAGTCTGCAGGGATGGGTCCTTTCATGGGGAATGGAAAGTTTTTACTGTTCTAAATTCAAGGCTAGACTGTAGGTAATGCCTTATGCTGACCACTGTATTGTAGAATTTAAAGGATGTTGTGGGTATTTTGAAAATGTATAATAGGTGCTTAAATAGGAGAGATCTTGGCTGAAGTTGTTTCTTGCTAAGTGCTCACTCTACCCTTTATGTAACTTAAAAAGAATTGTTTTGTTGAAGCCTTGTACTCTCAATTTCTTGGTACGTCATAGTGCTGGAATGTACAAGCCAGTTTTTTGGGGTTTTTTTTTTAATGTCAGTTTAGACGGTTTTCTGTGTCAGTGTGTAGAACAAATGATAGTTGGCAATTTTTTTTTCTAGAATTGTTCATGTGTGTAATACTTAATGCTAACAGATTTTAGGGCCTTATTGAGAATTATCTGTGGTATGATCTGAGAAATTGAATAAATGTCTTAAATGTTCATTATGAAATGCATTAAGAGACAAATATTGTATGATTTATCAAAATTATAGCAGCAGTGGGATTCAGAATATATTTGAGTGGAGGAGGGAGCAGATAAATATGAAGAATGTATTTTCCCAGAAGTAAACACCCAAAGTAAAAACATTTTGAAAGCAAATATAATTGTCACCACGTGGGTTTTGCCTCCCTTCCAGGCCATCCTGGGCATGACTCCCATGTGAATTTTCTGAGACGGTGACTAGTTACATGGCAGAGTTCCCTTCTGCACCCCCTGCTGAGTAGGTGGCTCCAGAGGGCAGGGTCTTGTGTTGGTCTTGGTCCCCCTTTGGGCTGTGGGTCTCTGCTTGCACCCAGAAGTTTCCTCGGAGTTGCACTCCTGGGACCTCTTCCCGGAAATGCTCTCCCCTCATGGCTGACTATAAACAGACCTTTCCACGCTTTGAGACCCAGTGTACATGCCTCCTCTCCCAGGAAGCCTCCTCGCTGCTGTCCCTCCAGGCTGAATGTGTTCTCTTTGTCCTGGGGTGTTTATAGCACTTGCTGCTGCTTAGGTAACACTTGTGTGTTTCTCTGCCTCCCTTTCCTGACCTGGCTGCTTCATCTTCCCCTCCCTCTCTCCTTCCCCTCCCTTTGCCTAGCATGGTTCCTTACATATGTATAGACAGCAGGAACACAGCATAACGTTTTCAGATTGGTTGTCCTGTTATGGAGAGAAGAGGAGATACCTACCAGGAAACTGACAATTCCTTGGGGTGGAATGGTAGTGAAAATCCTGGGTGGAGGGATTCTCGGGGTGCTCTGGTGCTCTCGGGGGTCTCCCAGGGCAGCTTCTGTGATCTGAGCGTTAACTTGTATTCTGACGGTCAGGCCTGTTCAAGGGGAACATCAGGAAACTCGTCCACGAAAGGCAGTTTGTTTGGTGCTCCAAAACCCCTGCACCTTGTTGGAGGCAAAATCAGAGCCGTCTACCATCTCCACATTCTCACTAAGCTCCTCAGCACCGTCAGTTTCTTCCTTAAATCTATCTGTGCTTGGTTGCGGTTAATTTAAGATGTGAAGTCACAGTTGCCCCTTGCCTCCACTGTAGTACAACCTAGTAGAGGAGCGACATCTAATAGAGGAGCGACATCCTGCAGTCCAGCGTGAGTGTCATCCCGCAGTACCTTCCTGCAGAGCGGAGCACAGCTGCCAAGGCAAGCCCTGGGCGTCTTGTTCAGGCTCCTCCTTCCAGCCAGACTCCCCGGAGCCAGTGGATGGCCTCAGCTTTAGTGTGAATTCACCAGTGTCTTTAGCTCGGTCCTTTTCCCAGATTGCTATGGAGTAAAATAAACTACATCTGGTGCCTGTGTGCATTTTCAAAAAGTTTGGATGAATTACGTAAAGGTCTTTTTCTTTCTTTAATTAAATATTTTGTTTCAAGATAATTGTAGGTTCACAATACATTAGTAATGTATTATTCACAAGGAACAATGTGGAGAGGTTCCACGTGCTCTTTACCCATTTCCCCCCAATGGTAACATCTCAGGAAGCTTTATTTAACGTATCGTCACAGCCAAGATTCTGACATTGACGCCGTCAAGATACAGGACATTCCCCAAGTGTCCCACTTGTCTTGTGCCCTATTATAGTCAAACCCACTTCCCTCCCACCTACTCCTTCCTCAATCGCTGGCAAACACTAATCTGTTCTCCATTTCTATACTTTTTGTAATTTCAAGAACGTCACAAAAATGTTTTGAGTCCGTGATCTGTTTTGAGTTAATTTTGATGTTATAATTTTATGGGGTTTAGGTGGAGGTCCATTTTTTTGCCTATGGATGTGCAGTTTCTCCGGTGCTGTCTGTTTGAAAAGGCTATTTTTCCTCCACTGAATGGCTTTTGCAGCTTTGTCAGAATCAGTTGGGCATATTTGTGGGGGTCATTTGTGTCCATTGATCTGTGTGTCCCTCTCCCCACACCACACAGCCTGCATCACTGTACCTTATACTGGGGGTGCCAAAAAATATATGCAAGTGGACACTTTGGTCAACGTTGCTCAAGCAGTAGTTCATTGTAATCAGAAGTGTCTGGACGCTGATGGGAACCACTTTGAGCACCTCTTGTAAATTGCAGACATCAGACGTGACTTGTATTCATCTTTTGTTATCAGTATATACTGAGTATTATAATTTTAATACAGTTTTCCTTTCTTAAAATGTGTATACATTCTTTTGGCCCCTCTGTATATATAGTATGCCCTGGTACAGTGATTCCTCCCAATTTAGTCTTCTTTTTCAAAATTGTTTCAGTTCTTTTGCTTTTCCATATGTATTTTAAAATATTCTTGTCTATAACTACAAAAAAAAATCTTGTGGGGATTTTGATAGGAATTATGTTAAACTCCCGTATCCATGTGGGGAGAACCGACAGCTTTATTATGTTGAGTCTTCAGTCCATGAACATCACCTCTTTTTCTGTTTTAATGAAAGCTGAAGATGTGGAGACAAAAATAGCTGTGATGTCTCATTAAGAGATGATTTTATTCCAGGGAGAAGATGAGTGACAAATGTAAATTCCCCTCTTTAAAAATGTACCCCCAGGCCTATGAAAGGAGGTTTCCGACGTGTCCTTTGATTCCGATGTTTGTGGACAGTGACACTGTGAATGAATTCAAGAGTGAAGATGGGGCTATTCATGTCATAGAGAGGCGCTGCAAACTGGATATAGACGCGCCGAGACTGCTGAAAAAGGTAACTGAAGCGGCCCTGAAACCGGGCTGGGCTATGCTCAAGCTTGTATCGCAGTTGGGTGCTCTTAACGAATCCCTTTCCTCTTTATTTCTTCTTTAAAGATCGCAGGAGTCGATTATGTTTATTTTGTCCAGAAGAACTCACTGAATTCTCGGGAACGTACTCTGCACATCGAGGCCCATAATGAAACATTTTCCAATCGGGTCATCATTAACGAGCACTGCTGCTACACCGTGAGTATTCCCCGTTCAGCCAAGGACGTGGAGCCTGCTGACCTAGGGCTTCTGAGAACTGTTCGGCTGTCTCTTGACACAATGCATTTCTTTGTCTTTGAGGGCAGTTCTTCATCAGATATTGCCTCTCATTTTCGGTAGTGGGACCCACAGGTAGCAGGTGCGGTTTGCTGCAAAAGGATCGCACTGTGTAGCAGTTACGATAGCCAAGTGGTGCCTTGGTTTGCTTTTCACTCTGACACGTCAGAAGTGGGTATGGGAGGCCCCGGAACTGTGTTCCTCTGAGTGGCGCTGGGTGCATCACTCGGCCCTCCCTGTCTCAAGAATTCTCTTACTAGGTTATTAGAATAACCTACTGGATCTCTCTGCTTCCACCCTGACCCTCCGATCACGTCTGCCTCTGGAGCCACCCACTGACAGCATGTGAGATCGGCTCATGCTGTCTCAGGCTCCACACCCAGCAGTGTCTGGGCATTTCACTCAGGAAATGATGCCTCCGCTCAGTCCTATTGTCCTGGTCACCGGGGGTGCGCCTCCCTAGGGAGCTTTGCTGCAAGCGTTCCATCTGCCTGACTACCACCTTCCTCCAGTCCCTGCTCAGATCTTCTCGATGAAACCAGCCCCGAACACCCTGTTTAATTCTGCATCCTGTCCCCGACAGTTCTTTTAGTCCTGCTCCATCTTTTCTTTTTTCCGTAGCACTTCTCTCCCAACAATCATATAATTTCTTGTGTATTATGTTCATGGCTAATGGTCTCCCGCTGCTGTACTAGAAGCTTCACCGGCAAGGACCTTGGCTTTGTTCACGATGGAGAACACTGTTCAGTAGACGTGAATGAATGAATGAACAAGCAAACCAAGAATGAAAATGAAGCTCTCCTTGTAACAGTCATTTTTAGCATATTTTAGAAATGTTTTTTTGGTCTTTTCATGATTTTGAACCTCTCTGTAATTTTTCCATCTACTACTTTCACCACAGTGACATTATTAATAAAATAAGTGTTTTCTCCTGGTTACCATTTGAGGAGCTAACAAATGGTGTTCTCAGGTGTCAGTATAGGTAATGGGAATGCTTTCTCACTTAACTGCAGGTTCATCCTGAAAATGAAGACTGGACCTGTTTTGAACAGTCTGCAAGTTTAGATATTAAATCTTTCTTTGGTTTTGAAAGTACAGTGGAAAAAATTGCAATGAAGCAATATACCAGCAACATTAAAAAAGTGAGTCTATTTGGGATTTTATGGAAAAGGGTGGGCAGGTATCCCTGAGAAGATTCGAGCTGGCAGTATTTTTGGGAGCCTGAGAACGGGTTAGTTGGGGATCCCAGCCATTTCTTAAAGAGGAGATACTCTGATTTTCCCCCATGCCTGATATCCCAGGGATCCGGTGGAAGGTTAGATGGGGGTTCAGGCAATGCTGGTTGCCAGTGAGGTAAGGAAGAGCGTATAGCCACTGGCCGAGGCATTCTCTGCGTGGAATTGCTGGGGAAAATGGAAGTTGGGAGGGGTGAGGCAGGAGCAGCTAGCCTCTGAACCCCCAGGATCTGCTGGGGGTGGGGGGGTTTCCTGCATGCTGGACAGACGCCTACAGGTGACCTCAGGTCCCCAGACCTCGGATTGTTTGGTTCGTCTTCCACAGAAGAACTGTCCTTTCTTTTTTTATGCTGGTGCTCGTTACTGTGGAATTTTGGTTTTGAAATGTATCCATGTGGGATTATGAGTACTTTTTGAAAGATTGTTTCATTTTAGGGCTTTGGAAAGAATTTGCATTGAGACACAAAGCACATATTGAGTGCAAGTATGGTACATCACGCTTTTAATTAGTCCTATGAAAAAACTCATCGCTTTAGATATTATTTCCTAGACTTTTGGAGAAGAGGAGGTAAAATAATTATGAAAAACAAAAAACACAAAGGCATTTGGCGTTTCTTTTTCCTCTTTATTCTGTAGCAGTTCAGTTTTTATTAGTGTTTTAAAAACCTATGAGGGATGAGTAATTTGAATGTTGAATATATGCTAACCTTGAAATTGGTTTTGTTTTAAAGGGAAAAGAAATAATTGAGTACTATCTCCGTCAGTTAGAAGAAGAAGGCATAACCTTTGTGCCCCGCTGGACTCCACCTTCTCTCGCAGCCTCTTCAGAGACATCCGCGTCGTGCAGGAAACAGGCAGCGTCGTTGGCCGTTGTGGTCCCAGACGCTGCGCAGAAGGAAGGGCTGAGCAGCGAGGCCCTCAGTAACCCGAGCGGGGTGCCTGAGCCCGTGGTGGGAACCCCTGACGGTGGGTTCATTGTGAGAGCAGGACTGGGCCGTCAGAGGGAGTCCTGGCCTCTCTGGTGACTCTACCTGTTGTTTCTGTAGGACATTTAGATCTCACAGGAGGAAGAGATGGACCTCCGTGCTGTCCCTCTTCCTCTAGCTTCTGTAACACATTCATTTTATTTTTTCTTAGAATGAAGAAACTTGGAATTTTTTTAACGGGCAGGAAGGGTTTTATATCAAGTTATGAGACCAGGAAATGCTTTTCGTTTATTTTAGTTGAAGGTATCTTTAGTAAATGTAAGGTAGCAGCTGATCCTTTTATACCATAGTTCTATCATCATCACCTTTTAGGCTTCCTGCGTGCCAGGCATTGCCCTAAGCGCTTGATGAACATTTACTCATTTAATAATAGTTCCTTTTAGGTAGGAAATGCTTATTCTCGTTTTCTACACGAGTTAACGGTGGCACAGAGAAACTGAGTAACCTGCATGGAGTCACACAGCTGTTAGTGGCAGGGCTGGGGTTAGCCTGATGGCTGGCTGCAGAGGCTGCTTTTAGCTGCTGTGTTGCCTTGTACGTGCACGCGCGCGCGCGTGCACACACACACACGCACACACACACACACACCTTTTTTCATTTCTCAGAGTGATGCCCATTGTAAAATAAGAAAATTCCACCAGGCGGAGTCTTGCTAAACTATTGGTACTTCTTTCCCTGTATCTTCTCTCCAGCCGAGCTAGGCCACTTGTTAGCTTCCAGCAGGTGGCAGGTGAGAGAGAGCCGTTTTAGTTGGTTTGAGGCTATGTTCTGTTTTTCCCCCTTGTGGATTTGTCTTTGCTGTACTTAATTTAATATCTCATTCTTCCTGTTTGTTACCTTATCATTGAAAAAGATTTCTTGTACTCTTGAACACAGCTCTATTCAAGATAGGTTAGATCAGCGGTTCTCAACCTATGGGTTGCGACCCCTTTGGGGGTCGAACGACCCTTTCACAGGGGTCGCCTAAGACCATCGGAAAACTAAAAGATATTTACATTACAATTCATAACAGTAGCAAAATTACAGTTATAGAGTAGCAATGAAAATAATTTTATGGTTGGGGGTCACCACAACATGAGGAACTGTATTAAGGGGTCACAGCATTAGGAAGGTTGAGAACTGCTGGGTTAGATCCATTTGTGTTATTTCATAGTTTTAAGTCATGTAAGTCCTTTTCATATAGCTTTGAACAAAAAATAATTAAATATCTGTTAATAGCCATCCGTCTATCTTGAATAGTATTGAGATTTTGCAAGTAGAGGTGACCTGATGGTAATTAGGGACTATAATTGATTCAGCAAGTTGACCTGTGGCTTGGTCGGTGCTTTGATTTTAAAGACCAGCACCGAGGTTCTCTCAGGCGGCCTTTGCAATCTGCCTTCCCTGCAGTGTCACTGAGTTCTAAGACTAACCACCCGTCAGCTGCACTGAGCAGGACTTGGGAACACTTCCAGTGCCAGTGTTGTTTGTTGAAAATTATTTCGTGTCACTTCTTTTCCAGACAAACTAGATGCAGACTACATCAAGAGGTACCTGGGTGACCTGACCCCACTGCAAGAGAGCTGCCTGATCCGGCTTCGCCAGTGGCTCCAGGAAACCCACAAGGGCAAAGTGAGATTCAGCACCCTGTCTGGCCCCGCTCCTGGTTACTAAGAGTGGAAGTTCCCAGTTGCTGTAGCTGGGAATGTCTCCTCCCATATAAAAGTCCTGGAATCTGTGTCTGTGTGTGGCATCTGAGCCGGTCATGGCAGGTTATGATGCCCTTCTCTAATCAGCTGTATCTTTCTAGGTTTTACAGAGAATGGTCTTGCTTGAAAACAGTTACATGTCTAGAAAGTTTTGAGTGAGTTCACAGAATATTCAGAGATTAGAAATGTTTGAGCTTTGATTTTGAGGTTTGTGGTAAAATTTTAGCCTCACGAGGAATTAGATTTGTAGAATATGCCTCATACTAAAGGGTGAGCAGAGGCAGATTTGTGTGTGGCCAGCTACTGGCATTACCCATTGAAGGGAGCTGGGCATGATGTGCCGGTCGGCCTTCTCTCTAACTTGGCCAGTCTAGGTTACTAGAGCCCAGAGTTCTGAGGACTTAGTGTCACTTACTGAGGACATGACCATCCTAACAATAGCCACCGTTTGCTGTGCATTGACCATGTACCAGACACTGTTTTAAGATCTGTAGTAGGGGCTGGCCGGGTGGCACGTTGGTTAGGAGTTGGCTTGGGACACCAGCTCCAAGCAGCGGGGCCCCAGTTCGGATCCCACATGTGGCCAGTGATGCTGTGCCCTCTACAGCTAAGATGGTGAACAACAGCTCGACCTGGAGCTGGGCTGCCATGAGTTGCCGGCGACCTCCTGCCTCACCCAGGAAGAACACAATGCTAATACCAACTTGGGCTAGTGAGGCGACGTCCTCCACAACTAGACTGAAGAACAAAAAGGACAGCAACTTGTCTGTTCCCCTTCCCCGATTCCCCAATAAAACCTTTAAAAAACAAACAAACAAGCAAAAAACTGTAAATCCTCCCAGCAGCCCTATGAGGTGGTGTGATTTTTATCATCCCTGCTGTACACACGAGGTAACTGAGGCAGGGACATGTAGTAACTTGCCCACAGCCTTCCAGCGAGTGAGCAGTGGGGCCAGGGTTGGAAGCCTGCCGTTGGTTCCAGAACCCACACTCTTAACCACTTCCAGGGGCAGTGGTCCTTTCTGAGTGAGGATGGAGCCATCTCAGTGCTCTGGGGTATTTTCCCGGGAGTGGCTCGTCAGGATTCTCCAACTCCCATCCACGGCTCACTTCTTGTGGCCCAGTGGTGTTTCGTTCGTGAGCATGTGGCCGTGGAGGAAGACAGCAGGTCCAGTGACACTCAGACTCTGTCTTGGCCCTGCATTTTACTCTGGGAAGCTGGCCTATTGATTGCTAACGGTGGACTCTAGAGAAGGTTCCTGTGTGTTAGGAGCACCGTTACCAAAAGCAACACTGTTTTCTAACTTTTTAAGTCACACACACACATACACACACACACACACACACACACGAGTGCACAGATCATAATTCATAGATCAGCCCAGTGAATTTTGAAGCATTTTATGTTTAAGAAATTATTTGTGCCTTCATTCTACTTTACTGAAGCTGAAATGGAACATTGTAAAGATGATTTGGGCTAATAATACTGGAGGAAGGCTCATTTTAAGTAGTGCAGAATGCGGCCCACTCTCGGTAAGAGGTGAGAGCGTTAGAGTCTTATTCCCTTGGTAACTTGGTTTTTTTTCCCTTAGCAACTTCTAACACTGCTTAGAAACATGGCTTTCCCTCCATAGATCCCCAAAGATGAGCATATTCTTCGGTTCTTACGGGCCCGGGACTTCAACATCGACAAAGCCAGAGAGGTCATGTGTCAGTCTCTGACGTGGCGGAAGCAGCACCAGGTTGACTACATTCTTGACACCTGGAACCCGCCCCAGGTCCTGCAGGACTACTACGCGGGAGGCTGGCACCACCACGACAAAGGTAACGTGTGAACGTGGCGTTGAAGATGTGCTCAGAGACCTCCTTCTGTAGAGCTAAGTGGGCCCTTGAGTGCACTGTCCCCCTGTCCTGCCCTGAACACACTGAGGCCTGTTTCGTCACAGACGGTGCCACGCTCCTAACCTGCCGGGGAAATACCCCTTGGAGTAAGAAGGAAGGCCCGAAACGGTTGGCTCCTTCCTCACGACTCATCTTGCCCTTGGGCAAGTTACTTTGGTTCCTTTCTTAGTTAAACGGAGTTTTTTGAACTTACTTAACAAACCAAAACTTTGAAGGTGGTTTTTTCCGGAGCACAGTGCTAATCAAGGAACTTTGCAAGGACTTAAACCCCTAGAGCGTCTATAAAAATGTACAGCCGGGTTTTCCACATGGAAACAGTGAGGAACTTCAGCTCTGTTAGGGGGAGTAAGCAAAACCTAAGCCAAGGACAGAGATACACCTAAAACGAGGGATGATTTTTGAGCGACCCATTCGGCCTGCTTTCCGTCCCAGGCCTTGTAGGAAAGCCTCATTGTCAGGCATGCTCACATTCCCTGACTCCAAGCATGATGGTGGACAGACGGAACCGCAGACGTGGGGAGGCCACGGGCACCTCCCCCACCTCCAAACAGGTCCTTTCAAAACTGCGAAGCTCTGATGTGTCTGTTTTCCCGGCTTCCTTTTGTACTTCCCAGATTAGTTGTAGCTTTATTAATTTTTACTAGAAGCATGTATTTATTCCACTTTCCGACCCTTGAACGATTACGAAGTTTAAGACATTAACAAATGTATCTTATTAAATGTTGGGAGAGATTTTTCTTTTATAAATCTTCCTTTCAACAAAATTTGGGAGCACAAAACTAACCCTTTTTGCTTTAGGTAGAACAGATCTAGACCCACAACTAGGAGGTGAAATTCGCCAGGTGATAAATACAAGGAAAACATGGGCCCCTGTGTCAGCGTGCCAGCCAGCGCTGACCCTCCATTAACATCAGAAGATAAGTCTTCCGTCCTTGTCCTCCTTGTTGCTGCTCTCCTGTGGCACTGAGTGGCGGGCATCTAGACTGACCCTAGGGACACACTCTGGCCACCAGGGTCTTTTGTCTCTGTGTGGCTGACTCAGGGTGACATGGATTTATATAACAAGTTAGGTTCCTCCCAGGCTCCATCCATTAGACCTGCAGGCTATAAAGCAGAGCCAGTGTGTGCTGGCTGGTATGGATTTGAGAGTTCTAGAAAGTCCTCATTTACCTTGGCCCTTAGGGTGGAATTAAGGGACACTAGCTTTAAGAAAATCTCGACATTAAATTTTTGGTAACCGATAAAATGAAAAAGAAAAAGTACTCTGTAGTCACAGAAAAAGCGTCTGTGGGTACTCTGATGTCCCCCTACTGTTGGAAGTCAGAGCTCTGCTCAGTGCCCTGGTTGTTTGAGGGTGTTAGCTAAGCCCAGCGTCGGCCACAGTCAGTACCGGGGGTCAGAGCTGGACAGAGGTAGAGCTCACGTGGCCCCTCTAAGGCCCTGCTAGGCTGCTCTGTCAGTGACTTTTGTTTTTCCCTTTTCTAGTTTCGTGGGGAGAGGTTGGGGGGATTTGTGCGCACGCACACACGGAACCCAGCTGCCGCTTCTCAGTGCGACAGGGCACAGAGCGTCCCTGGAATATGGGAGAGCCTGTTTCCTTGTTGAGGGTCTTAGGGCTGTATCCTCGGCTTCACAGCACGAGTGGTTTGGTAATGACTTTCCTTCGTCTCTCCTGCAGACGGGCGGCCCCTCTACGTGCTCAGGCTGGGGCAGATGGACACCAAAGGCTTGGTGAGGGCCCTCGGGGAGGAGGCCCTGCTGAGATACGTAAGTGCTTGCGGCCGAGGATGCCAGGCTCCATACACGCTTCACACTTTCTCTCTCTGCCAGCGAGACTGGGATATTACCGTTGTCCTGTTCTAACAAGCATGCATTCCTTTTGTAATTAGAAAGCAAAATCTATTAATATAAAACATTTCAAAAGTGAGAAGTTATAAAAATGTCTTTCACAGGGAAGCATCAAGAAAAAAAATCAGCATAGCCACTCAAGGTGACTACTTGGGAGTGATTCTGAGTCATATTTTGCCCTTCACTCCCGCATCGAATTGGTCCCTACCCTCCCCGCTTCCTGACTGTCCTTTTGAAATGTCTCTTCACTTCCTTAATCCATGCTCTTAGTGTCTTTTATCTGGGCCATTACAAATGCCTCCTTCCCTGGAGGCTCAGCCCTTCCACTGCAGCCTCCACGAGGCGGGCAGTTACGGTGCTTTTATTAAAAGACAGACAAAAACTTTAAAAGGCACATCTGTAACCCAGTTATCTTTGGCATTGTGTTGCGCACTCTGTTAGCCCTCACCTCTGCGTGTGTGCTCGTACTTTTGTGCGTACACATCCACAGCACACACATGCCCATGTACCCATGTGTACACACATCACATGTGTCCACGCACGTGCATGTGTATTCACACATATGCATACATATCCACATGTGCACACATGTTCATGTAAACGTACACATGTAAACATGCACACATGCCTATGTGTTCACATGCTCACACGTGCATGTACTCACACACATGCTTATGTTTCCACATGCACACGATGTACACATATCCATACAACACATGCATTGTATGCACATACACACACATGCTTACATATTCACATGCACACATATCCACACACACGTGCATATGTATCCATATGCACACACGCACGTGAAGGTGTAGAGGGACCACTTCTGTAGGGAAGGGTTTGTCATCCAAACCAGAAGGTCCCTTTTGCCGTACCTGGAGTCTGTTCTAACCCTGCCCTTGCTCTTGGCTGGTACGTGTCCTTACTCAGCAGACACTTATCTCCGACTGTCCCAGGAGCACTTGTTCTGAAGACATGGCAGCAGATCACGGCCTCCCTGCCCATCTGGTGCCTCCTCCTGTGGCCTCACTCAGCATCTGTCACCTTTGTCACAGAGGACAGTGCTCATTCTCTTTTGAGCATGAGCTGTTCCTTGACGGGGATATGTTTTGTGTGCATCAGAAAACCTACATAGATGGCCTTCTGGCTCTCCTGCTTCCCTGAACTGTGCTGTATCATTGTTACTCTCTTTCGTAGCTCGACGCGGTAGTGTTACCATCTTACACTCATGAGTTTTTATGGCCATTTTATGCACAGGTTCTCTCCATCAACGAAGAAGGGCTAAGACGGTGTGAAGAAAACACGAAAGTGTTTGGCCGGCCTATCAGGTAGATGTCCACCTTACTTTTCCTTCCAGCTTGTTGCGAATAAGAGTTAAATATCTCCGGTTGATTTTTAGAATCAAATCTAAATAGTTTACTGTTTTCCATAGTGTTTGTTCTAAAAGGTAGAATATAGGTAAGCATACAGTATGGCCGGTGACGAGGGACAGCTGCTGGATTGGGTATTTGCACCTCCACACGTTGCTGTCACCTCCGTCTGCGTGGCTTGGCCTGTCTGGTTAGTCTGCTTGGTCCTGGGGAGCCCAGAGCTGCGGGTTTTGGTTTGTCTGTTTTTGGTTTTTTTATTTTTGGTTGGGCGGTGCTAAAAGAATTACTTTGTGTTCCAAAATCCTGCTTCTCCTTATGGTGGCTGTCCTGGAAATGGGCGGTGAGTCAGAGGCTGACACTGAGGCTGCCCGTGGTTCACAACAGTGGCAGCCCCACGAGGGCAGGATTTTGAGGGATTCTTGCTGCCGAATTCTCAGTAAATGTGGAAGAGAAGCTTACTACAGTTCAGTCACACTGCCTGTTAAAATGCCAGCCTTGTGTCCCGTGATGGCCATAGAGGTGGCTGTACCTGTCGTGTGCGTTACTGCCGGATCGCTGAGAAACTTAGCGATAGTTCAGGGGTGGTCCTGCTGCACTGGTTCCATGTGCTTTATCCAAGTACGTACAAGTGTAGTTCAGAGCACTAATTCTAAAAACTGGCGTATTTTTGGAAATTAATAGAAGGGACTATTTTATAATATCAAATAGAAAAAAACAGCCGTGGGGCCTGAGCATGCCGTGCAGTGAGTAAAACGCATGTGCCCCTGCAGCTCCTGGACCTGCCTGGTGGACCTGGAGGGACTGAACATGCGGCACTTGTGGCGGCCCGGCGTCAAAGCCCTGCTGCGCATCATCGAGGTGGTGGAGGCCAACTACCCCGAGACACTGGGCCGCCTGCTCATCCTGCGGGCGCCCCGGGTGTTCCCTGTGCTCTGGACGCTGGTAAGGCGCCTGGCTATGGCGTGACGGGCGGCAGCGTGGGGAGGGCAGCGTGCGTCCGCCTACAGATGTGTTCTGTGACTTTGCCCTAACTAGTTAGGGGAAGGATTAACGTGGAAAGATAGGAAACCTCTCCAGTTGTTGAAGGGAAGGAAGACTTGCTGGGTTTCCTAATGTCGTGTAAGTGGGCTTTACAAAAAGAGCAGTTCAAACTTGAATTCCCTTTCCCCCAACTCACAGCAGCACGTTGTAATTTTAATCTTTGGAAATCAGACAGCCAAGCCAACATGACTGCATGGTCTTTTCTGATTACTTACAGGTTAGTCCATTTATTGATGACAACACCAGAAGGAAGTTCCTTATTTACGCAGGAAATGACTACCAGGGTCCTGGAGGCCTGCTGGATTACATCGATAAAGAGATAATTCCAGACTTCCTGGGCGGAGAGTGCATGGTACGTACTTGGGAAAGTCACCGCACGATTGGCTGCTTACAGGGAGGAGAGGCGGGTATTGGTTTGTGCAGATGATGTTCAGAGCTTTTATGGCTAGCATCTCTCTGATCACCACCCAGGCCATTGTTGATACCACGCACATTTCTTTGTTAAATCCTAATGAGAATTTGTTTTAGAATCTGATCTAATTGCAGCTTGCTTTATTCACTCCACTTTTGTGAGTCAGATTTTTAAACTGTTTTGGAGGCACTGTGCGTTTTTTAAAAACATTGTTAAAAAATCGTAGTGATTCTCAGAAAGATTACCCCGTGGACAATAAATCAGGATAACATTTTAAAGGGGATCAATTAAGGGAACTAGTTTTCTTTTATGTAATTTGGGGTTTCTAATACATTCAGTTGCTAGATTATCAGGCAAATGCCTCCACTTCTATACCCTGTACTGTGATGAGGGACTCAGAGAAGTTTAATTCCCTCAGGACTTTGCAGCCTCTGAGGCTGAACTGCCTGATGTGAGGGTGAGGGAAACCGAAACCTGCAGAGGTCTGGTGACTTGCCCGAGTGACAGCTAAAGCCAACAGGGAGTTGTGGTATCACAAGTCAAGTTCTTTATTAGAGAAAGGATCCCTCTGATCCTTCATGGGAAATGAAGTGATCTTTCTAAGATGTGGACATGCTGAATTTGACTCTTGTATTTAGCTAATGAATTGGGCTTCTAGAGATATCTTTCCGGATGGCTAGAGGAGTTTAAGCAGCATTTCAATTCAGCTCTGAGCCCAGCAGTCCTGCTGTAAGAGCTGCAGGTGTAGTGCAGTGCAGTGCGGGGAGCAAGTACATCACAGGCCCGAGCTTTCCAGGACCCGTGAAGCTACCGAGGAGGTCGGTGCCACAGTCGACTCAGGTTACATAGGAACCGTCCACGTGGTTGCCTCTTCTAATGACTAGAATTACGCTGGAGCGGAAGACTTGACTCTTGGCCAGTCATGCCCACATTTGTCACCTGGACCACCGTGATGTTCTCATGATGGACGAGTCCTCGTAACTAATGGAGGTCGCCGCACTCCAGCCTTCCGGCTTCCTCTCCGCTCTCTTGCACGGCCCTTCAGGCTGGCGTTGAAGCGTGGTGCTCACTTCCGCTCTCCTGCCGTTGGAGGGTTTGAGCCACGCATCAGTCTGATGTCTTCCAACATGACGTTATTGCTGTGACGTGTTTCCAGTCGCGCTGCACTGCCAGCTGAAGACTAGTGTGTGTTTTCTGTGTGGTTGCCTCCCAGGGCTGATAGTACAGGAAGCACTTGGATTTATGAATTGTCGTATTAAGTCATTATATCAAGGTCAACTAGGAAAAATATGAAATGTGTGAACTAATTCAACTTATTCTGTTTGAAGCAAATTCAAAAGAAGCTGTCTTATTTTTTGGCTGGTGTTACGGACTGGTTTTCTGACGAGGTAGACATGAAGCTTTCATCGCTGCTTATATATCTTGGCCGTAATCGCATATAATAAAAATAATGCCTGGAGCTGCATAAAACTCTTCTTAATGTAGTGTTTTCCCTTCACAGTGCAGTATAAGTACTTGTAATTCTTACATAAACCAGCCTCAGTAATTGAGTCCAGTACCTTATACATACTAGTGTGAATTCCGTGGTAAATCAGCTTCAACTCGTTCTCATTTATTTAAAGCAAGATACACGTGTGTAAGTGGTTTTTAGAAATCGTGTTGCTCAGTACTACAGAGTATTTGCCGGCGTGTTCCATTTCCCAAGCAGCTTCAGGGAGCCGACCTTATCAGGACACGGTGCCTGCCGGAATGTTTGGTTTTTGGAGGGCTTGCTCGTGTTTGCACAGCTCTCACGGCCGTGTTTCCATTTCCAGTGTGAAGTGCCCGAGGGTGGACTGGTTCCGAAGTCCCTGTACAGGACCGCAGAGGAGCTGGAGAATGAAGACCTGAAGCTGTGGACTGAGACCATCTACCAGTCCGCCAGCGTGTTCAAAGGAGCCCCGCACGAGGTGCGCCCTCCGGGACGGTGCGCGGGGCCGCATCCCTTTCAGGGCATCTCCCCAGTAGGCTTTAGTTCACAAGAATCCAGTGCTTCAGAGTTTTGTTAGCTTTAGGTAAAGGTCGACTCTGAAAGAACAGGCATCTCAGAATAGAAAGGAGCGCCTGGGAAGGGGAACAGGTCTCATCCCCCCAGGTTACCAGAGACCCTAACAGGTGTGCACAGGAAGCCTTTCCTCGTGGGCAGACGTTTGCCTCTTTTTGTTTGTTTGTTTGTTTGTTTGCCTCTTAAATTCAGTTTACTTAATGATTATGTAGGACTAATTTCATTTTCTGTTTTTTTCTGACTGGGTTTTGGTTATTTATGTTTTTAAAGGAATTTTCCCATTTTTGTCTGTCTGATGGATTGAGGAGAAACTAGCACGTCTCTCTTTGCCCTTCCTGCCATCACGTTGTGATATGGAAACAAGAGTACCCCCATATTTTACACACATGGTGTGTTCTGTGACACCGTGAGTGACCTGAGGAATGAGGGGCCCTCACCGAGTTGCCTTTCCTGAGTCTCAGGGTGAGGTTTGTGGCTCAGAGCTGCTGGAGAGGCACTCAGAGAATGTGCCGGGGCCTCAGGCAGGCCGTGGTGGTGGCCGGGAGCTGACCCCTTCTGCCTTCTGCCACAGCAGCTGCCCAGCCCGGCCACCTGCTGTTGTCCTCTTCTGTGTCTCCCAATGTCATCTGCCCATCACTTGTGTGGCAGGTTGATACTGTTGCTGTGGTTTAAACAGGCAGAGATAAAAATATGTTGTGCCTCGGTCATAGATTTGCGGGGGGCAGATTCTCATGACTGCGTCTTGAGGATTATTGGTATTTCTTACGTGGGGGCCGGCTAGAGGACGCAGAGTTCTTGTGGGTCTTTTCTTAGGTGACCGTCACTCTTGTTCATGGGAAGGAACTCAGTGGCCTAATAACGTTTCTTGGGAGTCACAGGGTATCTGTGAAAATGGGCAGCCAGGTTTTCTACATCGGAACAGTAAAAAGTTCATTTCTGCTTCGAGGGTTAAGTAAAGCGCAAGTCAAGGACGGTGATACCCCTAAAATGAAGGCTGAATTAAATGTCCCCATTGTGAATGCAGGAAAGAGGGTGCCTGTCAGCTGAGTGGGGGACAAAGGTCTGTGGAGAGCGCTGCCCCTGGGGAGCCACTTTGTTGAAGGAACCATACAGGCCAAGTCATTAGTGCCACTGCTATTCTTAGACATTATCCTCGTGCTTTCTGGAATTTGCTCTTTAAGGAAATTCCAAAGTGGTGTTTTAGCAGCAAGAAGTGGCAGTGGTGGAATTGAAGGAAGAGCCCGCGTGACAAAGCAGAGTGCTAACGAGGCCACGTGGAGGGCTCCCTGCAAATGTGGGGGCAGCGGGGGCGTGCAGGCCCTGGCTCCTGCTGAAATGCTTTTCAGCGAGTGCAGAACTGCACAGCTGGTTTTAGTTCTCACGTCCCTCCCACACGCATCTTTGGAAACTATAACTTTGATCATTCCTGCTGGGAAACTATGTGGGCGCCGTGTAAAGTGAGATTTCAGGTTGGCCCTTCCCCCACCCCGTGCCACGTGGCTCCCCTCGTCCCACTCAGCCCATGTGAGCAGAGGTGCCGGGGTCCTTGGCCTCACGCCCCCTTCCTGCTCTGGGCCTTCCCTGTGCTGCCAGCCTCAAGCAGTCCATGGACCCACGTCTGCACCATCTTGCCTCCCCCCTGTTTTGTATTATTGAGACCCTTTTATAGCCAGGACCCAGTATTTTACAGAGCGCTAATGCCCGTGTAATGGGACACTGCAGGTGGCGCTAATGCAGTCATGGGGCTGGACCCGTGATGCACGGCAGGGGCCAATGGTGGAAAGAATGAAAAGACTGGGAGACCTGAAGGGTCGAATGCGAATCTGGGTGCAGAGATCCACTGATAAGGGCGCATCTCCCCCGACCCGGCCCTCACCGCTGGGCTGGAAAGCAGCTCGGGGGCAGCCCAGGCTCTCAGATACCTTGGTTGACGGACGCAGTCTCCTTTCCAGATTCTCATTCAGATTGTGGATGCCTCTTCGGTGATCACTTGGGATTTCGACGTGTGCAAAGGAGACATTGTCTTTAACATCTACCACTCCAAGAGGTCGCCACAGCTGCCCAAGAAGGACTCCCTGGGGGCGCACAGCATCACTTCTCCAGGAGGGAACAACGTGCAGCTCATAGACCGCGTCTGGCAGCTGGGCCGGGACTACAGCATGGTGGAGTCGCCTCTGATCTGCAAAGAGGGAGAGAGCGTGCAGGTAAAGCCTTGCAGGTCCCTGTAGCCCCTCTGCTTCTGTGTCCTGAGAAGGGAGAGTCTTTTGCTGCATCCCTGTCCTGACGGCTGGCGCTGTGTCTGGGAGAGCAGTTAGGTGTGTCTGGTTTCAGTTACGATCAGAAGGACTGAAGAAGCCAAGTGAGTCTTAGGAGAGAAAGAACTCACACCTGAGCAGTGGCTTGGGACAGAAGCCATGACTGACAGGTGTCTGAAGTGCACGAGCTTTCTTTAGAAGTAGTTTCACAAAAGCGACGCAGGAAGGAAGGAAAAGGCATTGTGTGCGCTCAGCTGGGATTCAGGAGACTTCCCTGACAGTCCTTGACCATGTTCCATTTGTTTCCTTCAAAGGAAAACACTAAATAGAAGTGAGAGAAACGAGTACTTAGGGCACTC